CCTGTAGCAAAATGTATTGCAGTCAAATATCTCCTGTAGCTTGAAGTGAAAAGAGGTGGAGAGGGTGTTTAAATGGATCTAGGCTTAATACCACTAAGTGCCATTCAGTTGAGTAAAAGGATCCAGAAATGTGTCCCGGCTAGAAAATGAGTTCCAGTGAACTCCTCTGCTTGCCTACGTGGCTGAACAGGCTGACAAAAGTGGACTAAAGCAGCACTACATTTATTAAAAACGCGGCTGTGTGAGCTGTATGTAATCTTCTCTCTGTGGGGACACTCAAAGTACTCTTCAACCTATTTTCTGGTCTTATGAAACAATATGTTTTAGTAGCAGTAATAGTTTCTGTTCAGACGGTCACAAAGAATCCTGTAAGAAATCTCTTGTTGATTACCAAAAGAGATCATCCTCTTCTGTTGGCAGATGTTACAAACCAGCTTTTTTTACCAATGCTGATAAATATTGAATAAATAAAAAGGGGGAAAAAAACATTTGGGTTTTGGAATTGCTTTAGCATATCCTGTTAAGTGTCAATAGAAGATTGTTGATGCGTACCTGTTTAAATCCAAATAAGATGCTGCTGCCCAAACCCCCAACTCAACGTTTACATTTGCACATGAAAATGGCTGTAAACAGATGCACAATTATAAAAGCACACATCTTGGAAAGCTTTAGTAGAGCCTCCTGCAAAGCCAGCAAGAATGTAACAAGTGCTTTCTGGATGGTAAGTCAACAACAAAACACTTTTCCAGAAGCCACTGTAGTATACATACAGCAGTAAAACCCGCTGACCAAACGTACTGGAGCTCTGCTTGGGTTGCTAGGAAATGGTACATTGGGACCCTATTGGGAGGTTATTAAAACTGCTCTTTTTCCAGACCAAAAAACAGATTTGCCTGCCTTTAATGGCCTTTTAAAGCGCTTGGGTTGTTTTTAGAAACAGTAGAGACTCAAGTGAAAGTATGAAAAAATACAAAATGTTAATTTTGCATAGATAATTCACTTTTTTTGCATTATTTATGTGAAAAATAATGCAAGAAAAGGGTCTGTACTTTGCAGGGTTGCTAAATGACACATTCCTGCTACATCATGTAGACACTGGGGGCAGTTCCCCGTTATTGTCAGACCAGAGAGGAGCCCAACTACAGGGGGAATCACACTCCTTAGCCTGCCTGATGAGATCAATTACCAATGGTCAGGCTCAGCAACAACAGTGGACCAACTCTACATCCTCACCAGGATCCTCGAAGGTACATTTACTGTTTTATCCTTTTCAAAATGTGGCAGCAAAACACCCAACCACGGTTCACTTGAATGAGAAAATGATGGACAAAATGCTGCCACTGTAAGGCCTTTGAGAGACTTTTTTAGTCACATTCTGATCATAACCAAAGAAGCATTTCTCCTAAATCAACTACAGTCATGTATTTCAGTGACTATGGCCTCAGGAGAGGATCTGTTCTACTGTGTGTCAGGACGGATTTGGTTCAGTGTTCAGCAGAGGAACAGCCTCAGGTGGAGACAAAGTTGAAGATGGAAAGCCGAGGTAGTGTGGACCCATGTGAAGGAAGCACATAGGATGTATTGAACAGAAAATTATGAAACTACTTGGGAAACAAACAAAAAAAGATGACAAAGTATCAAGGAAGCAGTGAAGGAGTTTTAAGAGTTTTAAGATGACCAGGAAAGGTTCACATGGAGGAATATGATGCCTTTTAACTAAAACTTATTCCCAATTTTTGGATAATTTTTGAATAATTAAATTGTATGTTTTATGTTGAGATGCATCAGCGCCTCAGTGTTTAGAAGAAAAACTCCAATAAAATCATCATAACAACAGAATATGTGCTCTGCTGCCACATCGGAGCCTGGAATTACAACCACCACTCCAACCAAAGTTTTGAAATCAGGGAACATTTCTCCAACTTAAGTGATCAGAAGTTTGCCTGAATGAAGGGTTTTCTGATTCTGCAGTATGTGCTCCTTCTGTTCCAGTGGTTCAGCTGCACCAGCTTGTGATTTTTAATGGTTACACACTCTCCAAAGTCTCCAACGCTGTCAGCTCCTGGATTGTGAGACGCATGAGATAGTTCCAGTGTCCAGAAAGGAGATAATGCTCAGATACTCCTATGTGAATCTTATTTTTTAGCTACCTCCACAGTGAAAATGAAAGTGTCTGCACATCCCCACCAAGTGGTCAGGTGTGTGAACTGAAATCTGTCAAAATGACAGAAGCCCTTCAGATTTTTCAGATACCATTTTAAAAAATGGTCAAAAGTGTAAAATATTCAGTTAACATGACTTCTGCATGATGAGGCCTTCCAAATTGAAAGCGTCACATCTCAATACCAGTGGTACCAGTGGAAACAGACTAATTGGTCAGCAATTGCAATATAACACTTTAATGCCAATAGACAATTGTCCATTGATTACTGACAATTAAATAGTTGGACATGCCTCTTTTCTTCCAAATCAGAATTCATTTGTCATTATCTTTTATAGAGAAAGCCATCAGAAACAAACTCCTGAATGAATAAGTCTTAGTTTGTCAGAAGTGTGTGTAATGTTGGGCTTCACTGTACTTTCAATTTGGAGATTTAGCTTCCACTTGTAATTGTTCATCTGAGTGCTAAGTAACTGTGATCAGTAATTGATTTATTAAAGTAGCTGGAAAAAAGGTGGATTACCTGCTGCTGGCCAACGACAAACAAATTCAATACCGAAGCAAACTGCTGTTTACTGCCTGATGCAATGAAGGGAAACATCTCAGGTTTAATCAGATTCAGCTCCGTTTCTGCCAAACATGCATATTTAGAGCCTAATTAGCATCACACCTACCATTTCACATGTCGAAAACAAATTCTCATTTGCTTAATCTGCAACTTCTGAGGCAAACACTTCAACCCCCAGATGATGACAGAATAATCCTGATTTTAGAGATCAAATCTGACTTTAAAAATTAATCAGGTCTCCAGTTCAAAATATTCTCACATTTCACCATGAGCAGACGAAGTGTGTAAAAAACGGTGAAGTTCCTGTAGCATGAAAAGTAACGATTCTTGGAAGCAGAGGCGGGGCAGCGCCTGCTGGTCCTCGGGCACTTCTGCAAACTTTGCTCCGTCGAGCATCAAATAAATGAGGGGGTTGCTGGAATCTTGCATCAGAAAGGCAGAAGTGTGTCTCTGTGTGACTGAATCAGGCCAGCTGCCAGCTCAGTAACAAACTGAGCTATGATCTTGTGTTGTGGCAGATCTAATGCGTCAGGCTTAATCAATAATAAAATAAGAGGGGAGAGTTGCGTGCAATGGCTACCAGGGCCAAAATAGTCACTGACCAAAGCTTGCACTGAAATGTGCCTTTGATTAGTAGCTCAGCAAAAAAGATATAATCCTGAATACCTTCTGATGGCCTAATTAAACACTGTTTAATGAAATTATTAAGAGTGCGTGTGTGTTTTTTGTGTGCATTTGTGCAGAATGTTTGTTTTATTTATGTTGGCATTCATCCATTAGTGTCCATAAATATAAAAGTATATGGATTATCTTAAGGCTTTCTGTGTGAACTGAAATTAATTTAAGAGAAGTTTGTGTTTATGAGGGAGAAAACAATATGTCACTAGTGAAAGCTCTCTACAGGCATCTAGTGGCGGGGTTTGTCGATCACATCTGCTAAAATGAATCAGAAAAATCAGGTAAATTAACCAGCAGAGGGCGCCACACTTCATCATTCAAACCACCAGAAGTAGACATAGCTACAGCTTGAGACAGACAAGAGAAATTGTCTCATTTTGAGCTTAATTCTAATCTGAATTAATGCTTTAGAGTGCTTTTGTTGATCTGAATAACCTGAATAATTACCTCACAAACTCCTGCTATTAGTCAGTCTTACAGTAAAGAGTTGCGTCATCCATCCAGTAGAAACACTTGACCTTAATGAGAAGTTTACTCTTCTGAAAACAGGCCACTCAACACATTACCAGTGGAGAAATCCATACACCAATAAAACGAGTTCTGAACTAAAATCAAAGTCTCATTAAGTTTGGAGAGAAACAATGAATGAATTTGGCCCACGGCACTTCAATTAAAGCACAGGCAGGTTGGCCTTAATGAGGCTTTTATCCAGGTTGTCCCACTTCCAGAAAGTTGGTGTAGCAGAAAGTTTTTTCCATCGACTATTTTTATTCATCCTATAAACTCAATTATGTGGCCAGAAGTTTATTTTGGGCTTTTAATCATTTATTTAAATTGTTCTTTCTTCATAAAGCTGTTTTATAGACATAACTTAAACGGACATTTGTGTCTTCAACAGTGATAGTGAATTAGGCTGATCACATCAGGGCATCTATTTGCAGGGATACTAAAATCAAGGTGTATTTTTACCTCATAATTTGTAATTTAGTGAGGGTGGTATCCTTCCACAGAGTCTATCAGGCCATCATGTTTCAATGTGATCATTATGGGCTACATAATGGTAGCCCAGCATGGAAAAACTCACAAAATCTGATAAATAGGCCGATGTACAGCATCTTAATCAGAAATAGACAGCTCAGAGTCGCTCCCCAAAGAAAGACATCATGGGTATATTCTACATTTTCTGAATCTTTAGACTCTGTTGGGTATTTTAGTTGTCAATTCTTATGTCCCTGATGTCCCTGGATACCACTGGGGGAAAAAATATGCATCTGGTTTAGTCAAAAGGTGCAGAAGAATGTGCATTATTGACCTTTGACAAATGCCGATAACATGAGCCTAAACCAGTCTCGAAAAAGAGAATTTATCCAAAGAGGTTGTTAAATTCATGACATGATAACGATTCTCAGCTACCATTTTGGAAGGGCTATCGTACCAAAATATTACATAGAGATATGTGTCTTTTCAAAAAAAATATGGACAGACTTCGCCACTTTGAAAAAAAAAAAAAAAAAACAGCTGGTAGCTACATATTTTATATACATGTATAAACATTACCATTTAAGTGGAACTGAGGTAATAAGCTCAGCTTACCTCTCGTCCTCTTGCTCGATGGGGTCCGTTAAGTTTACGACTTCAGTGGTGATCTCAACTTTGCGGACGCTACCGAAGAAGTCTGTGATGAGGACGCTTCCCGGATCCCTCTGGAAAAGGTCGGTCCGATGACCCGGAGTGGACACGCACTGACTCTTGGGACAAACTTTGAACTAGGGAGAAGAGAATAATACATTCAGAAGCAACTACAAACTTCAAAGTAGCTACACAGTATAAAACAAGACAAAAGGTAACCCAAGATATGTTAGCACATAAGAGTTATGAATGTCCCCCTGTTTTAAATTTGCATGAAAGATGTTACATGTTTTAGTTGACTGAAAAACATTATAACATGACATAAAGCTCAGAAAAGTAAATTTTACATAATACCACCCCTCGGTCATGGATAAAACTGGCATTCAGATGCAACTTTTTGTATTTGCTTGGCTCACGTTTATTCAATATTATATTTAGTGACAAAAACAAAAACTGAAGAAATCTGTGCATTCCGAATTTTATTTATTTAATAGAGGATAATGCATGTTAACATGAATTCATCACGTAAACATGCCAGATTTAGACAGAGAGGCTCATTTTTATCTGCAGACCCCACATAAGTTGAAAGGATTTAAAAAGACAAAAAGTCGCATCCGTAATAAAGCCACCTAAAAGTATTAGCTAGTTTAAAAATGGTACAAGAAACTTGTGCAGTTTTGATAATTTATATGTCCTGAAACTGTTCAGTGATGTAATAATTTTTGGTCCTAAATTTGAATTTGAAGTCCGAACAGAAAACAACTAAATGGCATAACTTGTTCTAACTGGTTTTTTAACGTCTCCCCAACTTTCATAGTAATTTACAGGAAAATTTAGTTCAACCAATAATTTACTGCGCTGTGGAGAAGCAAATGTTGATGAGGTTTAAGTTTATTCGGCAGGTATTTTTGGTGCTTGGATTGTCAGAGTTGGAAAAAAACTTCCTAAAAATTTTTCCATTAGTAATTTGAGCAATTTATTTATTTTCTATTTATTTCAAAGGAAAATTTTTAAAACAGAAAAAAGAAATCATTAGCCTGACCTGAGCATAATCTATTAGTCAAACAGGACTGGAAACAAAATTACACACTAAAGCCTTATTACAAATCTGAAAGCAGTTTCTTTAAAAAGGTCAAAGCTTTTCAGACTGGATTTAAAAACTTAATGGGCTTGTCAAGAAAATCTATAGAATTGATCAGTAAATCCAGAAAAAGCACCAGAACAAAGAGTGCATCCACAGAAACAGAACAACTGGAACAACTGGATTGTATAATTAGCATTAGTCAGAGCACACAGAGTAAACATGTCGTTTTCAGATAGAACTTCTCACAGTCCTGATGGCTCGGTGGATCTCTGCAGGAGACCAAAAGATGAAAAGAGAGGAACCGCTGAGGCCGAGCTGCGGCGCAGAGCGCGTACGCACAGTCCCTGAGTCCGGTGTCAAACGCAAGCCGGCTCCACGCTTTGTTACCCATTCCTTTTCAAGTCTGGACAAGTCCAGGGAGACCTGCGTGTCTTTCATCTGAGGCAGCCAGAGACCTCGCATTCACTGCCACACGTCCTCCGTGATCAACTTTTTACAGTAATACTAATTTTTTAAAAGCTACCAAATTTGACATCATACTTTAGAAATAATAATTGGTCCACACTCCCTAGTTCTTCACATTAACAATAAACCTAGATAATCAGTCTTTACTGTCTCTGGGTTTGAAAAACCCTATTTAAAATAAATAAACAGAGCTTAGCCTGGTGAGGAGGCAAATAAAACCTGGCAGCCCGTAAGGCTTATAATACACCAGGGGAAGCCTTGAATATGTTATCATAACTTCAGTTCTGGCTTAAAAAACTCAGGTCCTCTGTATATTTACCTAATGTTGTATACTTTACCGTACTGATATTGTCAACATCGGTTTCACTGTATGTTTAATTGTTGAAGGATTTAATAAACATTGAAAAAGGAAGAAAACGTTCTTCACCAGGTCGTTCATGTCGGCTTTGCTTGCCGGGTGGATGTCCTCCAGGAACTCCAGCAGGTAGAAGGTGTAGCGATCCATTAAATGGACTCCTATAGCCAGATCTGGTTGGTGCTAAAACAGAAACAAGGAACAAAAAAGATCATTATGGCTGCATTTTTATTAAAATATTGCTATTTTTGTTGCTATTTTTTTTCCTCTCTCTTTCCCACTTCTACCCAAAATATCTGTGACAATAAAAGAAGGAATGATTGAGAAAATTTAAATAATTATGAAAATCAGAAAATAAGTTGAACAATTACATTTTTGTTGTGATATCACTTGGTTATGTTCTGTTTTGTCTTTGTTCTAAATGTATCTATTTATTTTTGTTAATTTTATTTATTTATTTTTTTGTCAATTTATAGCTCAATATTTCTTTAATATGTTTTTTATATGCACCAATTGGTTAATTTTCCAATAAAAAACTAACTAATAAATTAGAGAAATATAATTATCAGTAATGTTTTCCTCCCCCAATATCCCTTCATTTAATCATAAAATTAAAAGATTTGTTTTGAAACCAATACTCAAAAGCGTTATTACTGCACTGTTCATTTACCACATCAATGAGCGAAGCAGAGCTGTGTAAATGTAATCTTCTGATAGGAGGAAATCACTCCTTAGAGGTTAAGTGAGTTTTAGAGAGCTGCCAATAAGTGCTGGGCAATAACGTCTGAAGAAATATGTTTTCATAACTCTGCTTCGCTCATTAGTGGGGTAAATGTACGGTTCTGCTATGTGGACAGGAGAGAGTAAAATCAATCTGTGCACAGGAAAATTCTTACTGGAGGTTCTTATTTTAGTATTTCCAGCATAAATTCACACATGAAAGAGTATAAAACTTAAATGAATGTATAGTGTGCATCTTACTGGCATTGAAACTATGCTTTAAGTATATTGAACAGGGAATCTAAGTAAATAATAGATTGTATAAACATGCAGCCTTTCTAGAAGCAAATCTTCTTATATAATTTCAATCTTTCCCCACTTCTTTTTTTTAGTTCAAAACATCTCTACCAAGGTTTTTCACCAGAAAAACCTACCAAGGCTCAAAACAAGATAATAAAATAACCAATTTTTAAATAAAAAAATAACTTTTAGCTATTTCTTTTATGCAAAGAAAAAAAGACTTTTTTTATGGTGCAAAATAAGTTAGCCTGGATAGGCATGGAAATAATTAAACGATTACGCTTAATTGCCAATTAACTATTTATTAGATTAAAATTATTTTCATTCGATTAACTAAAGAAGTCCGGTTTGACCTTCTTTTAGTGTTGTAGTTTCCCCGAAATTCTCCAGAGAGCGTTTCTGGTCATCCCAAAGCGGAGCCAGTTGATTCAAGATGGCGGAGAGCAAGAAAGAAAAACGGTCCGAACAGAGTCCGGTTTGGGATACTAAATGAGCTTGAGTCAATAAACTGCTAAAGTTTCACCGTAACCGCGCTCATTAATGCTGGAGCAACGTCAACTTAACCAGAAATTACTGACGTGCAGAAAGACGGAGGGAAAAACAAAGAAAAACTGTAACACAATGTAAAAAACATAATGCCAGTTAGCAGGATTGGTTTTGAGAGCTGCTGCTTTAATGCACTTCATGGATTGAAGTTTTAATGTTCCTTCATGAGCAACAAGAGTTTAACACTTTCACCCATCTTATTATTCAGCAACCTTAGAGGTTCTTGTTTTGTTACATTCTACAATATATTAGTTTATCAATATGAGATAAAAACAATTTCTGCTCATTCAGTCGGTATTGAATGCAGTTCACATCAAAAAATGTTAAAAATTAAAGATGTTTTTTTTTTTGTTTTCAAATTTAAAAATATGGTGTTGATCCCACATCCTTCAGAGTTACTGTAGATGGTGATGGCTGTTGGCAGGAAAGATCTCCTGTAGCAGCCCATATTACAGCAAATTTGAAGAAGGTTCTGACTGAAGCTTTAATAAGATGGTCAGGGTTGTCCATATTCTATTACGTTATGTTTAGTATATTTGGAAAATGTAGCCCTTTATATTAAGGAAAGACAGTCCTCTTGATATAAAACAATCAGATTTTTAGAATGGATGTTAATAATCAGATAAATATTTATAAAACAAAGCTTTTTTCTCGACTTCACTGCAATTAGGAAGATGAACTCTCAGAGGTGCTGTAAGCTAGACTACGGAGATAAAGACCTGCCAAAACAGCTGGATGATTTAATTTACCCTTTGAGTTGTTATGAGGGGGAATAACTCACCGACAGGGAGTCTTCCCCGACCTGACTGCTGGCCAGAGCCATGATGTTTGGAGAGTAAAACCTCTCGTACATGGAGGCGCCCTGACAGGTGTCGATGATGAAGAGCAGCTCGTTATACCTGGACAGAGACACGATCAAACTCATTTTCTAATAAACCCCAATCACAGGGCACACAGCTGGCATTACGCTTGTCCATTTGCTCCAATATAAAAAGCTGTTATCACACAACCCTTCACGCTGCAGTTACCATGGCCACCGAGTAAAAGCATCAGCACCATTCAGTCCCGCCAACACGCCTACACGCTATTCCACCTCCTTCAATCCTTCTGCTCTTCTTCTCCTCTAAGAAAAACCTCTTCCCCCCCATTTGGTCAGACATAAATAATCAAATCAAGCTGATGAATCAAGCTGGTTTGAGGAGAGTAAGAGGAGGTGGCAGTAATTAAGCAGCTAAAGAGAGCAATTATCACATCAGCATCAAAGCGAGCTCGACTGTGGCACAAACAGGTGACAAACAGTTTGGAGAAAACGAGCCACTTCTCAGGTTTCATTACAGCCAGATCTGCATGACGGAGCTCTATGATAATGCAGCGCTATAGTTTGCGTTTATATAAATAAAATAGGTCAAGGAGCTGGAATATGTCTTAGAGGGTTTCTCCTCCTAGTCGTCTATTACAAAACCACAAGGGACGATAAAGCCAAATTATCAAACTCAATCATCTGGATTCATATGAGCCTCTCCAGCGCTACGAGAGCATATGAGAAGAAATAATTAGTGCATTGATTTATTACTTCATTACAAGTTAAAGCTGTTGTTTTGTTGCAATCTAATTGAAATAAATTTAATTTGCATGAGACTTTTCAAAATAAAAATAAAAGCAAAACCACAGACACAAACTTAAAACATATCAAATCAAAATAAAAGATGGAGTCAATCAAAACTACATTGATATTGTTATTTGTATCTAATATACTTGCACAAAACAAAACTAATAAGTCTTTTAGTATAAATTAATCGGCAAAAACTACATTTTTGCAGTTTTTGTATTAGAAATACAAAAAAAAGATGAAGTTAAACACTCAATTCATTTTGAAGTAAAAAAAAACTGCCAAAAATGCAACATGACATTCCTTTAGTGAACAGTTCATGATCAACGGCAGCTAAAAAAAATACTTTAAAATATGAGAAGCTCAGGCCTTTCTGCTTGATGGGGTGTAAGGATGAACTTTTGATTATTATTTCAATTAACTGCATAGAAAAAGTAGGAAACTTTTTAAAATGAAATTTGAACCAGATGAAAACAGACTTATTCAGGGTAGAAAATATTTACAAAGAGTTGAGTTTTTGTCTTAAATGTAAAATGCATACATTTTGTACAGTTTTTGCTTAATTACTGCTCTAAAAATGTTCTTTCAACAAAGGGCCTTTTTTGAGTCAGTAAACTCCAGTTATTGATTCATCAGTTGATGATTAATCCGATTAATTGCTTAAACCTAAATAGAAGGTTATTGTTATTTTAATTAAATAAAGAGAGAAAAATAACAACATCTAAAGATTGAAACTAAAACAATTTATTTATGATATATAAATAAAATCAGCTGATGAGACTTTTATTTGTAGCATTTAATAGCTGATTCATTAATTTGTTATATTATTTGTTGGCCAAGAAATGAATTTATTGTAGCAATTTATTTGCACTTTATTTATAGTAGTTATTCTAAAGTTATTCTAACGAATAACTTTCTGAAGTCATTCTTAATAATGGCAGGATTAGTCCTCCATAATTTACCTTCTTTTCTGCCACATTTGTTCAAAAGCATCAGCCAATTCCACGTTGCTGATCTCCTCCGAATCCTGGAACTTAAGGAAGCCGTTCCCACCGTGACCTGTCAATGAAACAAAAGATATAATATTAAGACACATGGACTGGTAGCAGATAAAAATGAGACAGAAAATGAAAATAAAAACACAGAAGAAAGGTGCTTGTATTTTCCTGATGAAAACTTGGCAAACGATCAAAAAGTGAGAATTGTATACATTTATTTTTTAAAGCAGTTTTAATAAAATCAGAAAATACTCTTAAGAGCTTAATCCTAAAAAGTCAAAATAGCTTTGTCAGAAAGTCTCCTTAAAGCTAATATTTCACCACTAAAATGTTGACATTATATTCAACATTTGCACCAATAAGAAAGCATATTTCTCTAAATATCAAACTCATCTCTTCATAAAACCTGAATTCACTCTGCTGAAAGTCCAAATTAGCCTTTTTTGGAAAGAGGAGAGAGGACACCTCCCACAATACCTGCAATGTTTCCCATCTAAAATACTGTAAAAAGACAAGATTAATTGAACCTTTCTGCAAAACCATTTCCTTCTACACTCTTCTCCTGTTGTGCTTCTTTGAGTTTGATTTTGCATGCTATCTAAAAGTCATTAAATAAATGTTAGAACATTTTCTCTATTGAACGTGAGAAAAAAGAAAGGGAGATTAAACTGGAAAAGGGCACTGAACAATTTAAGCCCAGATAGTGACATGTTAAAGCCTTGACAGAGAAAACTGGGCGATTCTGATCTCACATATGCAATTTCCAGTTTTCTTTTGTTTCTGAGCTTTTGATTGCAATTTTAATCAATTTGTTTTTCTCTGACATTTCTGATATGAGAAAAAACAGTCATACATAGTCAATAGGTTTTTGACAGAGGTAGCAGTTTTGAATGTACCTGAAAAAGGAGTAACAACATTAGCTTCACTTATGCAGCAAAGCAAGATGTTTGCTGATGTGTTCACTGCTCAAAAAAGTAGGAGTTTTCACATTCAAAGCAATTCATAAACAGAGGAAAAATAATTGATTTCATAGGATTTTATCTGCAGTTTCCTGATAACAGGAGATCAAATGAGAATAAAACAGAATTAAGAAATCATTTTAGATGATCAAAAACTGTCAGTAAGGTTGGAAATAATTAAATACCAGTGAGGTATATGAGGATGTTGCTTCGGTCGTCAGACAGGAGGCGTTTGGAGCGGGGAGTGCTGGGGGGAAGCCGCCCAGTCAAGACTCGCAGGAAGTTCTCCACTGTCACCTGAAACAAACGGGATCCATTGTGGAACATTAACAATTTACTTGTAATGGTTCACGTCTAATTAATCACAATTTTTTTCTTTTTCCAATCAATCAAGTTTATTTGTATGCACTGTTCAGCAGTAAGGCAGTTCATAGTACTTTTCATCATAACAACACTAAAATCAACAATTGAAACATTTTTCCAAGTCTCATCACTTACACATTAAAATGTTCATTAATGTTTCATTTATTATGGTGCAAAACCAATTCCAAGCAGGTGGGTTTATTTCAGCTGCTTTGCAGTTTTCTGGAAGTTTATTTTAAAAATTTAACGCATAGAAGCTGAATGCTGCTTCTCCAAGTTTGTTTCTGAGGGGTCTGGAAGTGTGATACCACAACCACAGATCTTTAATGCCGTTTGGTGGTTTATAAACTAGCAACAGTATTTCATAGTCTATTTGAATCATCTAATTATGCTAAAAGCTTTTTTAAAAAAAGCCAAGTGCAATAGTTTTACAGCACAGAGGTCGACTGACCTCATATCCACGGTAATCCACCTCAACGTCGTCGCCGTAAACGTTCAGCTCCATGTTCTTGTGGCTAAACACTGTGGCCGGTTTGGGATTTCTGTGGTTACAAGCCATATCGTCGGCCAGCATCAGAACTATATGACTGGCACAAACAAAAAAAGCAAAGAAATAATTACATAAATTTTGTTAAATATAGGTAAATATTGAAGTCAGTCATGTTGAGTGATTTCTATTGGTGGTAAAAATACATTACTTTAGTGTTTCTATTTAGTTTTCTGAATGCATTTGACTTTATGTTGGAGAAAGTGAATAATTTCCCTTTATTTCATAATTTTACTGCAAGTTCTGCTGCAAGTAAGGAATCAAGCTTGTTTTATTGTTCTACTTTTCCGCTTTTATTGGTGAAAATACATAACTTAATCACAGTGCAATCAATAAATTATTCATATTTAATCACAATTACAAAAAAACAATATTTCAAGTAAGTTTCAGACAAAATCTGAAAAAAATAAATAAATTATGCAAATAATTTTTTTGATCAATTCTCCTTTTTCTCTCACGACTTTGCACATATTTGCATGGAAACTGAAGGACAAAAAGCAGAAAAACTATTTTAACGGGTCGGGCAAGCAGAACAACGTTCCTAATTTTATTTCATTTTGATGTTTTTACTGTTATTACCACCAGTTAGCAATGACCCCTGACCCTGTATTTGTTGGACTGAATGGTACCTGTCAGGGATGCCCAGCCTCTTTACGCTCCTGTACACCGACAGAGAATTGGCCACATGTCGGTAGTTGAACCAGAACCTGGAGGTACACACCTGTTTGTCCAGTAAAACAAGAAAAAGTGTCGTAAAAAGCCGGAAGAAATCAGCAAACTGCTCTCTTCATTAACGAAGACAATCAGTCATATTAATGAATAAACACTGACCAGAACAGCCCAGTTGTTTGTATGACCACTGCTGAAGAACTGGCCTGCTGTATTCTGATAAAATAAACGAAACAAGACACGTTAAATGTCATTATTTTTTATGAGATTCTGATATTTAGAAGCGAAGCCGTAAAATAGTATTTATAAAAAAACATAGCAAGCTAACCGGAAGAGATTTGTTTGATAAAATATAACACAGAAAAATATAAATACGGGAGGAAATCCGGAGCTAGAAATACAGACTGATACTCACCTCGACATCAATGCAGTCCGAAACTAAATACGTTACGAATAAACTTAATATAGTGAGTAATTTCATTGTGCAGCGCTGTCAACACTGCCTGGATATCGAGGAAGTAAAACGCTAACCTGCGCGACTACTTCCGGCACGAGACTTTTCAAAATAAAAGTTCACGCGAGGCAACGTTGTTTTATTGAGTTCAATCAAATCCGATATATTTCAGATTTATATAAAAAGCACTCAGGCATAGGAATAATAAAAAATAGTCTATTCTACAACAAAGAGTAGTAAAAGGCTCCCAGGTCTGCTTAATAAATAATGCACACTTGATTCTGCTTAGATTTCTTTTATCTAATATTATCATTGTTGTTATTATAGTGGTAGTATTAGCTCACCACACCAGCTGGAATCTACTTTCTAATTATTAAAAATATATATATTTTTTATGTCTTTTAAATTCAAAAGAAGTTTTACTTTATTGCAATAAATAAAGTAAAAGTCATAATATTATTAATACTTTTTTTTAAACTGTCTTGTGCCTTAAGCTACAAGACAACAAAATAATAATTCATAAAATGTGGATGTGTATTCTGGCGAATACAGGTAATTGAAGTACATGTAATTAAACGAGAAGAACACTTTCAAAGACAGTAATCAAGGTCAATCAAGATGACATATTAATGAATTTAATGTTATCTGCAAGAGATTAAATATGTTAATCTATTGTATTGTCATTATGTTAATTTATTTCTGCTCAATCATCTTCTGATTTTAATGTCATCTGCTTTATTTACACGCCATTTATAAGAAAAATTAGAGATAAACGTCATTTTATGATTAGTTCCACATTCAAACTGAACAGAAGACAAAGATCGGCTTCATACTATTGTGTAGTTGACTGGTTTGTTGTTATATTTTGAGATAATTACTTCTTCCTTATTAGCTACTGAATTGGACATATTTGGATTGAAATATGCTCTCCTGCAAATTGGTAAAAATCTAAAAGTAAGTATTAAAATATCTGCTTGCTCTGAAAGGAGAAACTGTAAAAAATTTCTTCATGCACGTCCAGCTTGATAAGCAAGCAGCACAAAAATCAGCCCTGTCAAACAGCAGGGTGTGTGATTTTAGAGCACTGAAAGCTACTCTAATCCCTGCTGCTGCTGCTGCTTTTTGACCTGCTGTTTCTCTCACTTCCCCAACTCACAGCTCATTATATAATGATGAAATCTGTGAAGTGCAACTCAAGCTACTGTCTTAAACTTTTATATAATTTTTAATCAGAAAAGCAGGGAAGAGATTGGAAAGTGGGGCAAACCAACAGAGCCTAAATATATAAAACAAACCTCTGAAATACCTTGAAGCCACACAAAGTGAACATTAATGTTTAAAACCAATAAAGTGATGGTGCAGATTTTAAAATAATCAAGATACACATTGATTGATTGTTTTTGGAAAGTTCACATTATTGGTGAAATGCAAGTAAATTTTACTCAGCTGATAATATTTACACAGAAATAAGTAAAATGCATCAACATAATAATATATCAAACTACGCAGTTACTTTTTATGAATAGGCTACTAATATTTATTTTGTAAATATGAATTTAGCCCAGTCACATTTTGCAAGGAGCCTTCCATCAACTTAGCCTTAAACACCACTCAGAAAAGAAGAAGACAGGGAACAAAAAACAGATAATCAAAACACTCAAACGTTGAGACAATACCAGAGAAAGTTTCTAGAGAAAAATGTGATCTTTTTTATTTTGAAAAGGCAAAAATGTGCTAGAAAAATCTGAAAATTTTAGATTAATCTCAAAAACGTTTACACAAAAACATTTTTTGGAGGAAAATTACTCCTTTTCATCTACACTTACCTCAAATTACTAAGTTGTATAACTGTGTCTTCCATGCTACATCATTTATAAATCTGCACTTTATAAGCTCGTCCCAATTTTCATAGTTAGATTTGAGTTTTAAAATGTGACGGTCCAAAGTCAGAATTTTGAAAAAAAAAAGAAGAAGAATTCTGAGGGAAAAAAAAACAAAATTCAAATTTAAAGTCAGGGCCAATGACAAAAAAATAATAATAAAATAAATTTAGATTAATCTGAGAAACTTTCCCCCAAAAAAATAAAAAACGAGCACCAAAAATCAAAACTTTAAAAATTTTCAAACAAATTTTGTACTTTTGTAGCTCAGAAATTTCCTTCTTGTTACAGGAAAAAATAGTATTTTGTCTGAATTGTATTGTTTCATTCTGACCCTAATACGCCGTTATACAAATTTGCCTAATGCATAAACAATTTGCATGACTCTGAGAAAAAGTCAAGAGTTTAAGGGCAGAGGGTTTTTTCAGTGGCCCTCATCCTCTTTCGTGTGGATGCACTGTGCGTAAACATGAAGTTTCAGTCCTAACCGCAAACGCCACCAGGAGGCGTGGCGTGCGCTCTTCTGCATACAGAACCCGCAACCTGCCGTCAGCAGAGCACAGACGGTCCAAACCGGAGCAGCGCGCTGCAAGCGAAGCGCTGCGGGAGGCGAGAAAAAGCGTCCAACCGATCCATCCGCACCACTGAGAAGGAACAGGAGGAGGAAGAGGAGGAGGAGCAGGGCAGCGCGGTGGCATCACCTGCAGGAATCCGTTTGAGAAGTCCGCAAGGACTGGAGCGGAAATAATGCGCTGACAGGAGATCTGTCACGAACTCGCCCATTAACCAAAGATAAATCAGAGGGAAAACAGGTGGGAAAAATCCGCCTCCGATAAGTTTTTCATTTCAAAATAAGGAGGAAATCCAGCTGGAGATGAATACCAACGATGCCAAGGAGTATCTGGCACGGAGGGAGATACCTCAGCTGTTTGAGGTGAGAGATGGAGCTGACATGATGTTTTCTACATCAGGTCTGAAGCGTTGCAATGTGCGCTTGAGAGGGTCTTATGTGTCATCTTTTACCAGTGAAGCAGAAAATATTACAGCTGAAAGCTTAAAAACAAGCTGGTTTGATGATCCAGAAGCCGTTTTAAAAACTGTAGTTTAACAAGTATGTAATGCATTTTAAGTTATTGCAGATGTTTAGCAGAGAAATGTGAAAATACTGACTGTTTCTGCAAGAATGCACACATATTTAAACAATACAAGTGGTAATCTTCTCACATCATTACATTCTGAGTTTGAAGGATTGATATAAGATTACTTCTACTTAGAAGACAGTAAATTATCTCCTCCACTTAATTACAGTCAATTCCCACTGTGTTGTGTGGCTAATGTATGCAAGCAATCAGTGCAATCACTGCTGCTTATTTGCCTTCGGCTTAAATTACGTTAAGTAGCGAAGTGGCACATCATCATAACTACTATTTTGGTGCGTGGCACTAAGGCTCAGATACTGTTTTCGTCATCTGTCTGACCAGAAAGGCGATGAAACTTCTAGAGGCTTTTCAGGATGTATTAGAGGTGGAGGAAGGGTGGAAATCAGGAAGGAAGTTCCTGAGGAAAGTGTTGTTTGGGAACAGTTAGGGCAGAGGTGTTTCCTCTTTAATGGTAGCAATAGAAAGAAAAGGTCATCAGGGTCCTCACTGCAAAAGGACAAAATCTTAGCAAGCATCTTTAGTCTAGTTTCATATGGAAACATCTTAGTAGACTTGAAATGAGACAGAAACTAACTTACAAATAACTTTTCATTTATTTATAACTAATAAGTTATAAATAGGCTTCTTTTAGGGAAATAATTCCTTAATATTGGTTAAAAAATATTAGTTCCACTGCCAGAATATTTCATTATAACAAGACATTTTCCAATTTTGTAAGCAAAGTACCCAAAAACTGTACTCAAGTATGAGTAGTGATAATTTAACATATTTTACTCAAGTAAAAGTAAAAAGTAGCTGTCCAATAATTACTCAAGAGAGGCTAAGAAAGTATTTGGTAAAAAGTTTTATTTACTGAGTAACTTTTAAATTATCAATCATTAATATTTAAAAATCATCAGATGGACCAAAATATAAAGTTAAGTGGAATTTTTTGTATTTTAGGATGAAGGTGACAATAATTCATATAAGTAACAAAAAATAACAAAATCAGACGAAGTAAAATTTTTCCAAATCAGTTTCTTTCAATAAAAAAAGTTATGAAACTTTAACAAAAACTGCAGCCGTGTGTGTCTATGTCTGGTGACTTTTTGGCTAAAATATGTTTGTTGTTCATTCGGTGGGTAGAAAATCCAGAAATTTTACTCAAGTAAGAGTAGAAATAATCTTATTTGAGTAAAATAAAAGTTTTAGGAATACTTTTACTCCTAAAAGAAAAAAGTCTTTTTACTTTTAAAAAGACTTTTACTCCTAAAAGTTTTTTTTACTTTTAGGAGTAAAAATACTCCCACAAGTATATTTTATTCCAAAAGGTTACCCAGGTAAATTAATTGAGTAAATGTACCAGATTCTGGTTATAAGTGAAATAATCTGCCAATGAAACTAATGCTTTGTCATTAGTGAAGGAATCATTAACTGTAAAGATCAGGTATATGTTGCTGAAAAATTACTTATAATTTAGTTTTGTCTCATTTCAAGCGTAATAAGATATTTGCCCTAAAAATTAGACCAAAAATATTTGGTAAGATTTTGTGTTTTTGCAGCTGCCCTGTTTTGCCAGACAGGGTCATGGACAAAATGAGATGATTGGTTCCCCAGCTGGAGCCCAGACAGCAGGCAGGTTTTGAACTTTAGATCTCATTAGTTGCTCGGCTCCACTTTACTCCCACAGAACAACAACGATATGCTTTCACCTCTCTTCTCTAACTTTACACCTCATTCTCTGCTCTCCCCACAGAGTCTGCTGACTGGTTTGATGTACTACCGGCCCGATGACCCCATCGACTACCTGGAAGGCTGTCTGAAGAAAGTCCGGGAGCTCGGCGGCACCGAAAAGGTGCGGTGGGATACTTTTGTGGGCCAGGAGAGGAAGTCCCTACCTCCGCTCAACGGCGGCCAGTCGCGCCGGTCCCTCTTCAGAAATGGTGAGGCTGCAGAAAGTCTTGAGTGAAATGTGAAATACTTGTCCATAAAAGTAGGAAAATGTTTTATCAGTGCTTCACTGATTATGTAGTACAACAACACAAGAGTGCCGAAATATGAAGAAATATAAATTTATTTCAAACTGGTTTTAAAAAACAAAGAAAGCCAAAAACAAAATTGTTAGTTTTCCACCTACTTTTACTTTTGAAAAGGAGTAGGGAGAAACAAATACTTATTCCATCCTGCCTCTTATCTCAGTTTAATCAAATATATCAGTTACTGACTCAATACTTCTCAGAAATTTGTGATTAAAAACATGTTGTAGTATTCAAATGTCTATTCGGTTTGCTAAAGAACCAACAAATAAGTTATATTCCATTGAAATCAAATAATTACAAACTGACTAGAAACTATGTATTGTTTTACATTGGTAAGATTTTGTGTTTTTGCAGTGTAGATTTTTTCATTAGCAGTTTAGACGGAGCAATACAAGGCCATTTAATGTGAATTCATTCACAAAAGTAAGCAAATGCTTCAAATATAAACACATAAAATGTATTTTTGTCCACTAACAAACACAAAATTGCAATAAAAATTATTAAAAAGTCCTTGTTGGCCTCTGCTCTGTAACGTTCGCCTCCAGCTGGTAAATATCCCACAATGCACCTGTACATTTAAATTTTACAGTACAGCTGTGCACAGGATCCAATCACATACTTTCCATATGCATTCAGTTCAAAACCCAGCCACCTTACTGCATTATCATGATGTCGTTTTTACAGCCATTTCTTACAGTATTTGGTCACAAACTGTATTTTGTTGATTATGTGATACACCAACACAAAATATTGCCTAATTATATAGTTATACATAATAAGCTGTATATAACTGTATAATTATATAATTACCTGTGTAATTACCAATACAAAATCTTCCCAAGTACTTTTGTTTCACTTTCTAGTGCAAATATTTTAGTTAACTTAAAATAAGACAAAACTAACTTGCATGTAACTTTTGAGAAACATATAGAAGCTTTTTTTTTCCAAGTCAATAATTCCTCAATATTGATTAGAAAAAGTATTATTATTAACCTATCGCATGTAAAAATGTCTTATTATTTATTATTTTACATTTACTTGAAACCAGCTCCTATAAACTGCTAGTAAACTAGTTTTGTCTCATTTCAAGTGTATTGAGAAATTTATGGCGGAAACTAGTTAACAATACTTGGTAAGAGTTTGTGTTAAGTTTGTGTAATACATGCATTCATATTCTACCACAATGAGTAAAAACTTTGCTGACATTACTGTTGCAACATCGTTTGGTTGTCTCAACAAGTTCTTCACATCTGTCTGGCACTTTGGGTTTTGTTCCTCTTCGGTTTGGTCAGTCTTGATCCTGTTCTCCTTTAGTTAGCTCCTCATCGTCTTTCTAATTATGTTTATTGCATATAGTTACTTATTGTTACTCTCGTTTCATCAGGTTTCATTTCACTAGGTCTAATTATTCCTTAGTGTGGATGTTTTGGATCTTACCACATGTATACTCTTTGATTTTAACCATTTAATTGTAGCTCTGTCTGCATGTTTCGCGTTGCTGTGCTGCTGGAAAACAACTCTCAATCTTAAATTGTTTTCAGCCTCAAACATCTTTTATTCCCTCCATCACAGTTTAATCGCCTCCTGGCCTCTAAGTTAAGGTGGACAGCCTTGTAATTGTCAGATTCACTACAAAAACACAAAATCTTGCCAAGTATTTTTGGTTTAATTTCTATTGCAAATATTTTAGTACACTGGAAATAAAACGAAACTAATTTATAAGTAACTTTTTAGCAAGAGACAGGAGTTTAAGTAAAAAAAAATCCTCTTAACGTCGCCTTAAACTTCTCCACAACTGGGTTTTCATCGTGATGTTTTTCCACTAATGTGTTTCTACTAACATCCTGGACAGTTTGTGTCCAGGATGTGTGGGGTCTGCAGAGATGTTAGCTGCCCTTTTTGTGACCCTAGATTTGTACAAGTGAGCCCTGATGACTTACGCTGACACTCTGATTACTAATTAGATGACTAATGAAGAAAAGGTGAAACTTTGGGTGTGCATTTATCGTATCATGACAAATTTCTTATCATGGGAAGATTTTCATTCATTTTTGTCACAATAAATTCCAATTAATATTTAAAAACTTCTAAAGCTGTCCAGGTCAGGATTGTTTTCAACATTTTTCTCCACTGTTTGTTTAATAAAAGGATATTAATAAGTATCAAACTTGAAAATATGATTAAATCAATTTTATTTATAAAGAAGCATACTAGAAGCAGGTGAAAGCAAATGGGGATGTTCATTAAGAACAGTATTTGTTACTAATAAACAAATACTGCTAAAAATGCTGTCATGCAAACAGTTCCACAAAAAAGAATAAAGAGATGTTATCATCAATAATACTACAAAATATTGTGATAAAACTGGATTTTAATTAAGTTTATCAAAATTAATACCAGGCGTCTCGATTTTTTATTTGTAAAAAATAAAATAAAAACTCAATGTGATGCAACAAGGACAGTCATTTAATTTTTTCCACTTCACATTTATGTGCTACTGTTAGGTCTCTCATAAAATTACAATAAATCACATTTAAATTTAAGATGAAAAAATGTGATGACATACAAGGGACATGAATGCTTTGTAGATCTGACAAAAAAAGTAAAAATTTTTTACAGCCAATATCTAATTTAATAGCGAAAAATTGTCATGAAATGTAAGTAAAAGAAATAAAAGATTATTTCTTTTGAAGAAAGCTGAAAGCATCCCACTCTGCTCTGTGTTTTAACAGTGAAGGGTGCTGACATTTGCAGAGCATCTTGAGAAGTTCATTCGCAGATCCTCTGTTCAGACTTTTGTGTTTTCCTTTGAAGTACAGGAAGGAGAATAAGAGGTTTCTTCCTCTGGCTCTAATGTGATGTGTATCCATATGCGTCACCCACTCTCACTCTCTGAAAAGTGCCAAAAGTGAGACACCTGAGCTCTCACTGCAAAATTTATGTGTTTTTTTTCTTTTTAGATAAGCTGTTTCCTGTTCAGAAACAGTCTCCAGTGTGCATTTAATTGCCAACATGAATGAACTCTCTTCACTGGAGACAAACTTGTGCAGTTAATTAGTAATCTTTGCTGTCTTGTTGGCGGTTATCACTTCCAGTTACAACCCTGTGCAGGTGGATGCATTGCGGAAAATCCCCATTTATGCAAAACCTGGTTGAAATTTGCAAGGCAAAATCAAATTCAGCTACACAGTCAGAATCGGCATGCTTATGCTTTTATTTGAACTTCAAAGCTTCCTCTCTTATTTTCTGAAGTTCAGGGTTTTTGCTGCTTTGAAAACAAATATCTGCAAACATCCTGTGTTGTCCTGCAGTTATTCTGGTTATGCCACAAGACGTCACAGAGACGTAGAGATCGTACAAATAAGAAAAGCAGTGACCGGCAGGTTTACTATTTCAAGAAAGTGCGTGGATGAAAGCCTGAAAGCGGCAGTATTTTGCTGAGCAGAGCGGCCGGCTGATGAGTGTCATTGATAAATGGAGCTTGTGGCTGAAGCTCATATCTGCCATGTTTCAAAAGCCTGACAAAAGGAAAATCTGCTCTGATGTCTTAATTTCATTCCTGCTTCCCAACTGATTCATGCCACTGCAAAAACACAAAATCTTACCAAAAAGTTTTGGTTTAATGGACCATATTTGTTAAGTTTCTACAAATATCATAATTATTTCTAGAGTACTAACTTATAAATAACTTTTCAGAAAAATATAAAAGTTTGTTATAAGTCAATTATTTGTAATATTGATGAGAAAGCAGTAGTTCCACTGGCAGATTATTTCACTTATACTCTTTGTGTTGTGTCACCAAAACTCTCATTAAAATGTGTTGACGATTGTGGTTATGATGTGAGAAAATGTGCAAAAGTTTGGAATATTTTTTGTATAGCAGAACATAAAAGTAGTAATTTGTGAATTAACTAATAGTATTAACGTTGTGAGAGACATATAATCGATACTTTAATAACCAGAAACTGAATTATATTGATTTGTTTTGTCATGCAAGTTTTACTTTATTTGTAATTCAGGTAATTTTAGTTAGAGTGAATACTGGTTGTATGTAATGTTCACTATAATTTACAGTAAAATACCGACAGCAGTGTTTGCCAGAATTTTATCATATAAATACGGATTTTACCTTATTTATTTTTAAATACTTTTTTTTTTTACAGTGAAGTCTCTGCTCCTTCTAGTCTTCTGATAAATTAGCCCATTAACTATGTTGTAGGTCGACTACCAATTACATTGATCAATGAATGCAGTAAATTGTTAAAACATACAGATATGCTACACAGGTTGATTAGCAACAGTAATGAAGTCGCTTTGTTAGCATATGTACCCAATATGTTGTTCTCTCTAATTTACTGTAAAGTCAACTCATCAATTCCTAAATCGATTGATAAACGAATAGTCTTTTATCGATGTATCAATATAACTTTGTTTCAGAAATTTAAAGTGATATAATCTCGTTGTTACCTTTGTGCCACAGTTTTGCCAGAAAGCCCCAACTTCCCCTACAGACGTTACGATCGCCTCCCTCCCATCAGCCAGTTCTCCATCGAGAGCGACTCGGACCTGTCGGAGACGGCCGAGCTCATCGAGGAGTACGAAGTGTTCGACCCGTCCAGGCCGCGACCCAAAGTCATCCTCGTCATCGGTAAAGGAGCGCTGCAAAATGCCAGCTTTTTAGAGTGTGTTCTCCATCAGATGAGACGCAGAAAATGCGTGTGAGAGTGTGTGTCGGGAAAACCCGGGGTAGCCGGAAAAAATCTTGGAAAAGTCTAAAATTGTTCCCACAAAGAAATCATAAAAGAAACATTTGAATTTAAACAATATCCATATAAAAAGGCGAAAGAAACAAAGAACTAAATAAATCCGCTTTTCATCAAAGAAAACAAATAAGAATGCATTTTTAGGTCCCCCCGCCATTTTGAAATTAATGGTTCAGTCCAAAGTGTAGGAGAAGCAACAGCAGCGCTGCTAACAGCACAGGCTCCGTCAGAGCCGCTGAAATGAGGAGCTAGCAGAGGCTTGGCAGTAGAAAAAAACACTCTAGTAAGTAAAAGGTTAAAGGAAAAGACATGTAACTAATTTTATTTTATATAGGAAGAAAAACATTAATAATAAAAATCATTTCATTACTTTGACTGAATCATTAATTTTGGACATCAAAACTAGCATAACTAGCTACATTGCTCCGATGAACTCATTATATGGGAGCAGCATAGGAGAAAAAGAGAAAAACAGAAAATTGTCTTTATTTTTTACTATGTATGTAGAGCCTTTACAACCACAAAAACAAAAAACATGAGGGTATTTTTCAATAAAATCCCTGGTGCTTTGAGGGTTACGTTTAAGTTATAATATGTCCCAGATATTTGTCATTTCTCCCTTCTTATAGGTTCTTAGGCATTAAAGACATGAAAAAAATCAATGAGAAATTTTATTAAATGGAGTTACTCATTAAAAGTTGTTTTTATCTAAAGCCTTAAGTTTTGTAAAGGTGTAGCAAAGATTAGGTCAGTGACACTGAACCAAACCAAATATTGAAACATTTCATATTAGTTTCATTTCTGTGGTTCTCAGTAGTTTGTTTACTGAGAAAAACACGTTTGATGCGCTTCACCACTTGATAGTCATTTTTGGTCCTGCACACATCCAAAACATTTTAAGCCACATTTTACATGACGTTTCACTATAACTTTGCCAAGATCAAAATTGATCTTGAGAAATTTCGCTGTTCACGGTCTCCCCACCGATAACGAGATAGGATTTCCTCCCTTGCAAACGATGCTCAGTGCTTTTATATTAAAGGATTTAGAAATGCAAAGATGCTGATGAAGTAAAACTTTGTGGTCTGGATAGGAATCTATGTCCATTTCCTGGTATTCGAGCTCTCTTGTATCATCAGAGCTGATCTCGCTTCATGTTTCTCAGTGTGTTTGACGCTCTTAATCTGATTTCCTTGGCGTGCTTGCTTTAAGCTGTCTAATAATCTCATTTATCTTGTTAATCATTTCCACAACAAGTCTTGAACCTACCTTAGCTCAAACGCAGCTTCAAGACAGTTTGTCAAAGGTCGAGAAGAAGCAAGAAGACGACTTCGGTCCCTTCTTGAGCTCTTTTATTTGAGTGGATCTCTGTGGAGTGGCTGATTGGTGTTTGTCCTCGCAGCACAAAGTACTGCCTGTCCATCGCTTTAAGAGCATGCTGTGCCCTGGTTTTGAAGGGAAAAGCAGCATGGCAGCTGCTGTCACCTCCGCAGAAGATCATGGTGAATGTTTTGTGTGTCCGTTTTTTCAGAAAGCTGTTAGGAGGATGTTAGGATGTGAAGAAGAATTACAAAATGCAAAAAGCATCTGCCATGACAACAAAGTGTCCCAGAAGTTATTGCAATAAATGATAATGTTGTTTTGAGACCATTTTCAAGTAGTAAAATGGTAATAATGAAAGTACTAATGAAATTTAACACTGGAACTGGAAGACATTTTAAATATCCAAAATAAATAAAACAAATAAAATAGATACTAAAGTCCCTGTAAACATAATTGCCCTTTAAAAATGATTTAAGCTTTTTGTCATCTAATCTTTGGTAGAAAGAGAGAGACATGAGAAAAACAATCAATCATGCAAATGGAAATTAGTAGTTTTAATTGATCTTCCTATTAATTGGTTTTTGTGGCTTTCAAGCAGACTGATTTTCCTTGTAACTATAAACAAAACATGTTTGTCTAAATCCCTCGGAGGAAAATAAAAATAAATACCTTCATTATCAGATCAATGGCATTTTCTGCCATTTTTATTAGTAAAAATGTGCAAAAACACAAAGTAAATTAATCTTTAATTTAAAAAAACTCACTGAAAAAAGAGAAACAATGGAAATTTAATCTGGACACAATTCACGTTCATGTTGAATATTTGCTTTTACAGAGAGAAGTTCTTTTATCAGAGATCTTTGCACAATCTCTATAGACCAGGGGTGTTCAAAGGAGGGTCCGGGGGCCATTTGCAGCCCCTACACTCATTTTGTGAGGCCCACCCAAACACAATTCATGAATAAATTAAATAAATTGGGACAAAACTACATTTTCAATAAATATCTTACTGAAAAGGTTTGATGCAGTGATTGTCTTTTAAAAATTTTCTGCTTTCCTTCTGTTGTTATGGTAACTAGGACCACATCTAGTCATTAACTTCATAATCTAAAGCATATAAATCTGCTTTTAATTTCTACATTAAAGTTGACTAAATACAGTTACTGTTTTCAAATGAAGAGCTAGTTCTTGTTTTTATTATTTTGTCTGTTTTCTTAAATCGATGCCAAAATAAAAAGCAAACTGCAAACTTGTCATTTAACAAGGAAAATCCAAAATCCAGCTGACCAATTATGCTGGAGTTTCACTGAGGTTGCTAGGTAACAGGCTGAGCTTGACCGGGGCTGCAAGGTAACAATGAAGTTTCCCGTTGAATGTGACTAAGTTGGGATTCTTTTTAAAAGGTCCATTTCCCAGATTACCAAAAAAAACAACAGTCTTTTTTTTTTCAGCACTTGGGCTGCTGTTAGAAGCAGCAGAGATGCAAATTGGAAATATCTATTGGAAATGAAAACATGCAAAATGTTCATCTTACATAATAGTTCTGCTTCAAAAGGCTGGTGTCACTGGGATAAAACAGAACGGACTCCATTAAGAGTCTGGAAAGTGCTGGAAATCAAAAGTGCTTCTGCATGAGAATGCACCAGCACGCAAATTATCCATAATTTTATTATGGATAAATCGATCCATGGGACCTAAATTGTCCGAATTTTATTTTATTTATGACACACTGTAGGCTCAACCTGGGAAAGCTAGCAGAGATTTCCAGAAACCTGGAAATGAAGCGAAGCTCTGAAAAAAAGAGCATTCAGATTTACACACGGTTTCCGTCTGCGTGTAAAATTATCTTATGCAAGTTTACGTTTTTCTTCATCAACCTTCAGGCAGTTTTACTGAAAATACCAACTTTAAAAGGGTCTGTCACTGTTCATTTTGCTGGAAAACGATCACTTTATGTTTGCAATTCTGCTTTAGGTTGATAAAAAATGTTGACACCATTAATCCAAAGATATTCGGTGAGAAAATATGATTTCTTTATGTCCTCCTCCTCCACAAACACACACACTTAATCACACAGGCCTGCTTTCTCTCACCGACACACACTCACCCACACATGACAACAAACCTCCCCAAAAACATCAACAGCTCTCTCTTTCTCCCTCTGTGCTCAGGTGGCCCTGGCAGCGGCAAAGGAACACAGAGCCTGAAAATCGCCGAGCGCTACGGCTTCCAGTACATGTCTGTGGGCGAGCTGCTGAGGAAGAAGATGATCCACAATGCCACCAGCAACAGGAAGTGGAGCCTGATCGCCAGAATCATCACCAACGGCGAGCTGGCGCCGCAGGTAGCCGAGAAACAGAGACAGAGACGTGTTGGCGGGGGGGGGGGGGGGGGGGGGGGGCGGGTGAGATGGACTAAATATTTTGGGAGAAATAAGCGGCATGTCCAGACACTCGGGTCAGGTTGTTATCACAGCATGAATGCAGCGAGGAACTAATTGGCAGAAGGCGCATGACAAGCATGCTGGAGAGAGAGGATGTTTATCTGTCTTATTAGCATCCATCTTTCTAAGGTAATTACTCCGCTTGGAAGAAAATGAGCGCTGACCCCCTCCTGTGGCTGTTTACGCTTCACTCTTTCTAACAGTACCTAGCATAATTACAACACAATAACATATCCCCAGTTCAGCGTCTGACATTAACTGGATTCACCTCAGAGGTTTTTTTTTTCTTGCACAGCTTCTACCTGTTATTAAAAACCGACTCAGAGCAACATCTCAAATAATAGAGAGCAGAAATTTTTGATAAAAACAGCTGCAGGTGAGATTAAACCGGAAAATGCTCAGCAAAACACCACAGACATTTCTTTTATGCTTTAAAGTCTAGCTTTCAGTTTGGAGCCTCTCTTTAGATTTCAGTTCATCCTTAAAGTTGCAGTATGGAAAAACTAACCATGTTGTGACAATATCACAATATCCTCCCTGAGCTGCTGTTGCAGTCTGAAGTAATGCACCGCTCCCAGTCAAAAACAGCCCATCAGAGCCAGGAGGTTGGTCTTAGTCAATCAATATCATGTACTCGCTGCTAAATGTGCTAATGGTGGAGAAGCAACTTACCATTACAGGAAAACCATTTTTCAGTGGCTATGCTAGCTTGAGGATATGCTATCAGGAAGAAGCTCTACAACAGCAAAGAGAAACACAGGAAGATGATTGACAGCGCTAAGACCCGCCCCCTGGCTCTGATTGGCTGTTCCTAGTTAGCAGTGGTAGAAAGTAGAAGAGCCCAGTTTTTTCAAAAATCATCTAGGTCATGCTGTACTTTCACGACAAAGTGACAGTTTCAACAAACATGAAAAATATAAATTTATTTTTGTTGAAAAAGTTACATAGTGCTGCTTTAAGCTGTCAGATGGTAACTGTTAAATCTTCACAAGTATAGTAAAAACTGTGAAATAAAACAGCATTTAAAACAAAAAAATGAATAAATAATTATTGATTTCAAATGATATGACATGTTTATATCATTTTGCAGCCCGAGCCTGATGGATTATAGATATTAGAGTATATAAGTAATACTCAAAACCACCTGAGTGATCAATCATGTTTGGGCTTATTGTAAAATATTCCACTCCATGTATTACAATACCAAACAGGTGGAGTAACTCATTGAAAACATCTCCAGAGGATGGTTTTTACGACCTTCTGATGTGTTGCCGTCGCTGTGAGGTCATGACACAGACATAAGCCTTGGACCTAGTCATAAAGAGCCCGTTTTAGATTGATGATTCTCATGAATTATCCACAGTAACCGCCTTAGTCATCGTTCATCTTCCTTCTCCTGACATGTCTGAGACGTTAGTTTGCCCTTGGAGCGGTTCAGTCGAGATGAGGCAAACGGCAAAGTAGGCCAACCTGCAATCATAAATCATAGAGTGGCTGCTTGGCGTCGATTCATACTGTAAGTGTTTGGTTTATTTATGAATTAAATTACTGAGCTGCAGCTTTAGTTATTCCTACATTGTTCTTGTTGCACAGGGAGTTAGCTAAGATTTGAGTGTGCCTTATATGAAAAAATATTCACATTTTGCCACATTACCACCAGACATTTCTGCATTATTGGCTTTTTATCTAATAGATCAGCAGAAAAATGTGCTTGTTGGGGAAGTAAACAAACTATTTATACATATAATTGTCTTACAGTTTGTAGATTTTTCCTGTCACCATTTTACTGTTAATTACTGTTAAACATACAAATATTTTTGAGGAAATGCATCAAGATGCTCAAGCTGAGATTGAGTTATTTTACAAAGATGATAAATCAAAATATCTTAGAAGGCTTGTAGTTGAATGAAAATGTTTTTCTAAACAGTGTTGACTGAGGAGAGATGACGTCAAATGAACTTTTCAGATTTTTATTTCAAAATTCTTGGAAAACCATAAATGTTTATGGTCGTAAGGTGACAAAATGTAAAAAGAGGCGACTTCTCCAAGGCACTGTTCAGGCTCGATTGAACAAACTTCAGTTATGTCCATCACATAAACACATTTTTCTAAATGTAATTAAAACTGTAATGGCACTGAAGTTGCAAATGATCCAATAAGGCTGAAAGCGCAGATGAAGCAGCACTTCACTCAGCCAAACGCTGTTTGTCTCTCAGAGCCTTTTTCTCTTAGAAATCCCACCTGGCCTCTGAAAGGAAGATCTTGGACTGTCGACAGCCAGCTCTAAAATTAAACACAGAAAGCACAATTGGTTTTATTGTCTTAGTCTGTGAAGTATCTTCATCTTAATAGAGCTTCAGCAGAGAAAAGTTTTAGAACCAGCGTCGCGTTATTCCGAGGAGTTTACAGTCCGTCTCAATGAAACCATTTTGATCCTTAGATTAGTTTGAATCCCTGCATGGATGGCAGCTCCCATTCGGAAACTAAATGCCTCGGTTAGTCAGGTTATTTTTAGGCCAAGGAATTACATCATGCATCTCTGCCATACTGCAAATTACTGTCTGCCAGAGAGAAGCTTTCGAACATGTTGACCTCCTCCAGCCATGGGGAAGTAAGTGATGCTAAAAGAAGTTGACGTCCTCTGGCTTCAGGAGGTCGTCGCTCTGCCGCAGTTACAACCATTAAAGAAACCATTAGATAAAGATGAACACATCGGTGGAAATTGCACAAGTTGAACACTTTCCTCTTCAGTCACCTGTTGTCGCGTTACTGCAACAAACTTTACTAGTTTTTATCAATTAAGTTTATCTGAATCCTACATTTCAGCAACAGTTGTCAAGTGCCGACTTTACACATCAAAGTGTTGATTAATGTTTTATTTATAATGAATCAAAAGCAACTCTATAATCCCACTCTAGTCTAGATTTAAAGAATCTCAGTTTTCAGCTGTTTTGCAGTTTTCTTTAAGTTTGAGGTTTATTGGAACTGAATATTGTATTGTTTTTCCATGTTTGGTCCTGATTCTGGGGATGCAGAACAGAACCAGAACACTTGAGATGTCTGGAAAGTTGCGATGACGACAGCAGATCTTAATGTATTGAGCTGCTAAGCCGTTCAGTGATTTATAACGGTGCGTCAGAAACACCTCTGACCCTTCTGGTTCGACGAGTGTGCACTTTTGATGCAGTCGCACCAAACACGTTTTGAGCGTTTACATACGTTTATGTGGACTTTCTTCTTTGATTTCCAATTTGGACTTCAAGTGATTCACTTCCTGTTAGAGAGCCCCCTGGTGGTTGAAGAAAAAGCCACAGAAAAGCCACACCGGGCTACAAACTGCAGCGGCTTATAGTCCGAAAAATATTGTATTTTAAATTCTATCCTCTGAATCTGAATAGTTTTTTGTTAAGCACTGTATATTATTTCTTTATAATCTGTTGCTGAAATGATTCTCTCAGAGGAAAACATCCTTTCTGTTATTTGTATTGATCCTGAAACATAATGACCTCCCTGCAGAAATGGCAGAATTTCTTTTATCGCTTTTTATTAAAAAAAAAAAAAAAAAACATCAACAGCTTAGGCACAGGATGAAGGCACTCATGAATCATGTTGCTTTTTTCATTTTTTTCAGGAAACCACAATAACTGAGATCAAACAAAAGATAATGAAGATCCCAGACGCCAACGGTATCGTCATAGATGGCTTCCCTAGAGACGTTGGACAGGCCCTGTCCTTTGAAGACCAGGTGAGTCTCTGTTATTGGACCATCTGTCCTCGTCCGTCTCTGGGATGATATTCCCCCGTTTACTTTTTCAATCTCTTAAAAGGAAAAATCGTCACTACAGAGTTGTTATAACACATGGATTTCATGGAAGCCACAACACGATGCTGTGGAAACGTTCAGAAATAACCAGAAAGTCATGCTTGTAAGCATGAGCTGCAAGCCTAATTAAGTATCCAAATGAGGCAGTCCCAGTCCAGCTTTCTGCCTGAGATGTGAGGACGGCATCATCAGCTGCTCTGTGGGTTGTGTAACCCCACAGGTTATTTAATGTGTTTGATATCAGGAGCTGAGCAACATCACAGCATCACTGCAAAGGCATTTAGACTCTTTGATGTCCACGCATTAATGCCAGTAAAGGTAACTTAAAAGTTTAAAGGGGAACGATTGTGTAAAATTCACATTTTGCACGTTCTTTTGGCCTCAACTGTTTTTAAATACAAACAAACGTCCAGATATTTCTTGGCAATAAGTTAATGTTTCTTGATGTCTGTTTTAAAAACCTTCTGAATGTAACAAATTAGCTGGTGTTGCTAGCAGTGAAGGCCAGACCATTACCTGGCAACCCAAGCAGGGTTCCAGCACGTTTGGTCAGCTGATTTTGAGGTTTTTATTTTTCTTTTCATATTATACATACCCCCATCCCCTCAAAAAAAAAATAAATAAATAAATAAATAAAAATTACATTTCCAACAAGGAAGAAGAAAGAAAAGAAATTCCCATCCAACAAACAACCAACATCCCCATAAATACTGTCATATACAAGTATGGCAGGTATGTAGCAAAAAAATAAATAAAATAAAAAAGATTAAGACCATATAAAAACCAATGTCAAGATTTATGGAACCACTATTCAGCCAAAATTTCAACGGTCTGTTAGTCAGCTTGTTTATAATTCAATGCAAAAATACTTAAACAAAGGAAATTAAATAATTTTACCGTGCTATGTGTTGTACAATGACTGCTGGAAAAGACAAGCATTTTCTTGTTGCTTTACCATCCAGAAACCACTTACTTCAATTTTGTTGGTTGTGTAGGAGGCTCTCTCTCTGCTTTTCAAAGATGTACAGTTGCATAACTGTGTATTTGTTTGCAGCCATTTCCTCGTGCGAGGATAAATATTGAGTTTCGGAGGAGTGGTCTGTTGTTGTTTATTTGAATTTAAAGGGACAGACGGCCCTAAAACAGCTCATTCTGAAAGGAGCTCAAAAGGAGTTCAGACTAACATTTAATTATCTAAATTTGATTTTGTGTAAAAAATTGTATGAACACGTTCTTGTAAACCATAGTCCTATTCTAACATGTTCAAAGATACTTGATAGGTTACCGTTAAAGCCTGTGAGAGTTAAAAGATTCATGTATCAAAAATTGCATCTGGAGAATTTCTCATAGATTTTAATGTACATATTTTGGTTACAGTACTTGGATTATTTTTGGGCAAGTTTTAGTATAAACTGTATAGTTGTACAAGTTTGGTATAATGGTCTGAAAAGTCGACCACATTCAGCAGCTAAATTACTAGAAGACGCCACTTATATTTGAGCAAAGTCAGTTACGTCATCCGAGTACGAAACGTTCTGCCAACCCCTAACTAAGAATCAAATGGAGACTTTTTCAAAATCAGTTTGCCAATGTGTCTTAACCACTGGCATTTTCTGAGGTATATAGAGTTTATAAAACTCATAGAAAGTGGAGCAGAGGACATTGATCCTTGTAGTGAGTTGAAATCCTTGGATTTGAGACCAGCATGTTTTCTCCCCTTCTCTCTTTGCCTGTTTCCTGTCTGACTCCTCTCAGTAACGGCCGTGAGCTCCACAAGGATAAAAAAGAAAAAAGAAAACACTTTCCTGGCACTGTAGATAAAGTCCTGCTTGGCTGAGTAGACATAAAAATAACATTTCCTTTTCAGAAATCTCTTACTTGATGACAGATTCTGGTACGTGACAGCTCTGATTTACAGGAGGATCATTTAAGTGCTTTAATTTTTTTACCCAGTGTTTATTTTTATTGCTGAGAAACAGCAATAATTTGTTCGGGTTTTATCTTTCTGTGGCATCAAATTGAGATGCACTACTTCTTTTTGTACAACCTGGAGTTTTATTTATTGATTTCTGAAGTGTGTTGTGCCTTCATCATCACTTTGGCTGTTTCATCACTGCGCGTGCGTCACATCCCGTATCAACGCTGGCATGAGTTCACACCAATCCCACTCATTGTGCTTTATGTCACCATGTTACATCTGCTGCTGCTGCTGGTGCTGCTTTCTTATCCTCTTACCAAACTGTCCGATAATTATCAGTTAGCAAACAAGGTATTCGTTTAGCCTTCTCCAGTATCCGACTCATTAACTATGGGGTGCTTTTTCTACCATAATCCAAAAGCACACATTTTCTGTTTGAAAGCAAGACTTTATGTCTTTCCTCTCAAAACTTGTAATGCTTGTACTCTAAACTTCTCCTCACGCTCGGACGTAGTCTCTGCTCGGACTCTCTGCTTCCTTACAAAACATTTTCTGCTTGCTTCTGGAACAAAAATGCATCGTCGCCTGGCAACCTCTCAGGCAATAGGATGACAGTGTTGCACTGGGTGCGTTTGTTTCCTTCTAGCGGGTCTGCCTGTGTGGTTACCATTGATCGTAGCAACCTGCACCAGCCACTGTATTTAGGGAGAAACAACGGCCTCAGCTTTCTGCTCCATGTTTCGTTAAACATCCGCCAGCAGTGTGCTACTGATTGCTAACAGCTACTGATCTTAGGCAGGAGTTTGTTCACCCAACCAACTCCCTACATCCAGAGGCTGATGCAGGTTGCTACAATCGATAGCAGCCTCACAGGCACACCTGCTAGAAGGAAACAAAGGCACTCAGAACAACACTTTCATTCTATTGGCTGAGAGGTTGCCAAGCGACAGTGCCAAAAAAGCATTTTCAAAAGCAAGCAGAAAATGTTTTGTAAGCGAACAGAGAGTTCTGCAAGAGCACAAGGAGAAAGGTTTGAGTAAGCATTACAAGTTTTGACAAGAACGACATGAAGTCTGGCTTTCAAAATGAAAATGTAAGCAAAAGTATTTCACTGGGCTGCCTTAGTTAATCAATTAGATATATGTGATCTGCTTATGTCAGCTGATGGGCGATGCAAAAAGCCATTTCTTTTCAGGGACTACATTCCATATTCCTTCTGTGACACCAGATAGCATACAGGCACAAAAATGGAAGTAAAGATGCATAAAAATATGCATCTGCTCCAATATGGAAGTCCTAAACCCATCATAATTTATATTATGATTATATATATTTACACAGTCCAAACTAGAGCACCACAAAGCAAACATTACAGAGGAATCTGATACTGAAAGTAAATTTTTTAGTAGTTTTTAAAAGATTTGCCGTATTTCAGGAGCTGCCGACTGTAAAATGTGCCTTCACTTCAGCCATCAAGTATAAGCTAAAGTCTCTATTTGCACTCATTATACTGTAGAGCTTCCCAAGAGGTTTCAGATCTTAATTTAGCTGTCTCACTCACAAAGTTGCCATTTTGGTTCGCTGTCGCTCTTCACACTGCATTCGCTCCTGCAGACATCATCTCCTCTTTTAAGGTATAATTTGTGCCTGTGACAAATTGTCTTCAATGCTCAGAAACCGGCTGAAATAAGAAAGTATATTCCTTCACCAGACTCGATATGGTTTGGGTTTGTGAAAAGGGCTTTTTGTGCTCTTCTGTCAAACATCTATAACATGGAGGGTTGCACTTTCAGCGGAGTGTGTTAAGTATAACTCCGGGGTTTCGTAATGAACTGTCAGTCTGTCTGCGATGTTCCTCACCTTTCATGTAGTGAAAGCAGGAAATACGAACAGGATGTAAGATCCAGTGCAACAAAGATGGAACTGTGAAAAGTGAACTGTAAAACTGTTCCAACTCTGAGATCGGTCAAGTGATTAAATGGAGTTTATTGAACTAATTTTGTTGATATTTGTTTGTCATGACAACTTAATGAATTAACTTGGATAAGCTTAATTTCATTACCTTGACCAATTAATGCATCCTCCAGCAATGTATTAAGGCCAATGTCAATAGAAAAGAAACTCAGAAATTCTCTAGAAAAAAAACAAGGACTTTTCTGACCTCCAAAAGTTGAAAATGTGTTGGAAAAACTCTGATATTTTGAGACTAAACTCAGAATTGTTCTAGAAAAAACAAGCAAATGTCTGAGCTCCAAAAGTCAAAGAAAACTCGGAAATTTTGAGATTAGCCTCAGAAATTTTCTAGAAAAACCAAGAAAATTTCTGAGTTTCAAAAGTCAAAAATGTTTCAATGTTTTGAAACTCAGAAAATGTCCAAAAGTCAAAAAATGTTTAACTTTTGGAAATTTTCTGAAACTCAGTAATTTCTGTTTTTTCTAGAAAATTTTGGAGCGTTTTTGGCCGGCATTTACTCCTATTGTTTTCTATATCAGTGAATCATTTTAGCAACATTTATGCCAAGTTGAATTTTACCAGCCTATCCTTCATGCTTAGAGGAACCCAGAAACTGCTCCACTGAACCAAAACCAAACATGTTTCATTGCTGAGGCATTTCAATGAAGATACAAATTCTGGTAATACACAATTAAATGAAAATTAAACTTACTTAATCATGTTTTTTTTTTTCTTGCTACCTGTTCTGCTCTTTAAACTGCTCTTTTAATTTTTTGCCTCCGACTGAGTAACCCAAAAGAAAACAGGAAAAGTAGTTTGTATAGATGCAAATGTGGATGGAAAATATGTTTCTGGAGCATGCAGTGCCAAGATATAAAAACTTGACATGACAGAGAAACCACCCTGAGGAGAAGAGGAGTAAACAAATGTAAAAATCCTAAAGGAGGTATTTATATAATGTTTGCTCTCCTGCTGTTTGTAACTGTTGGATCACATCAAAACATTTTCACTGAAGTCAAGATTTTAGCTTGCAGGAATTTGTTTTTCGGCC